TGAGAAACCTCCCATGACCCTTGGATTTACTTCCCATCTCACGCTCATTCTAGGAAGTATATTTTCTAGTAAAGGAGGACGAGGGTAGAACTGTTATTTTTTTCCTTTTTCTGCTTTTACTTTTTGAGTTTATATAATGTAATAATTTATTAAATAAACGTATTATATGTGAACTGTGATGTACTTCTGGGCCATGGATACCACACAGATTTTTCTCACAATAGGTTTGTTTGTAAACAAATCTAGTATATGATTTTCAAATATGAATCAATTAGAGATTGAGACTTTGTCTGTAAACAGTAGTGTATTTTTGTTCTGGAGAACAGTTTGATAGAATCCAGTACATTTGAAAACATGCGTACCTGTGCCTCAGCAGTCTTACTCCATGTTTTTGATCTCTAGAGAAATTTACATAAAAATTCAAATTTGTAGAAGGTGAGATACTGCTAAAATGTTTAAATTTATAGCAGCCTTTTTTGTAATAGGGAAGAATCAGAAGCAAACTAAAAGTAATCAAAAGAGTCCCGGATGGCTAAGTTGTGGTACGTTGGTAAGCATTCTGTGGTGGTGTCCTGTATGTTCCAGTGCTATAATTTTCCAGTATATATCAGTCTTATGTGATTGTTAAAGAAAACAAGCTACTACTTAAAAAAAATTAAAACTTGCAAAATATGCTGTAAGTTAGGGATTATATATAGTGAAACTATTAAATAATGTTAAGATAATTGGACAAATTTAGGATATTTGTTTTAAAGAATTTCATAGATTTTAAATTATACTAGTAATGTTTTATCAGTTAACTTGTGGGCATGTGGCTATTTATTTGTATTTTTTGTGTGTCTGAACTAGTTTAGAAAAATTTTAAGTGGAAGGAAACATGAAAACATTGATGTTCACAATTCCATAGGGCTGAAAATGGGAGACCTTTACCCTTTTTGGTTGATGTTATTTTTGTGTATTCTTCATTTTTTACAATGAGGCTTCACTTGTGTTCATTGTGTTAAAGGAAAAACATTTATGAAACTCTGTATGTTTTTGTTATTTTTAAAATTTTTTTCATTTATTATTATTATTATTATTATTATTATTATTATTTTTTATGTGTTTGGTACAGAGTCTCACTATGCAGCTCGGGCTCATGGTAATCCTCCTACATTCATCCTCCCCAGCACTGGAATTACAGGTGTGTGCCACCACACCTGGTCTCATTGGCCCGCTCTGCTATCCTTGTTGCAGCGTGCCAGGGATCAAACCCCAGTACCTGCGGATCAGACCCTGGTCCCTGCACTTGCCTAAGCAGTGTATCTTTTTTTTCTTTTTAAGTAACAAATACTCATTTTAAACATTTTAGAAAGTAAACAAGTCAGATAACAAATAAAAAACCTTTTTTGTGACAGGGTCTTGCTAACCTCGGATAGGTTTCACATTCCAGACCCTTCTGCCTCAGCCTTTCAGGTGCATGGTATTATAGATGTGTACCACGATTCATGGCCCTGCACACTTTTTATAATTAATTTCCTAGTCTTTTTCTCTAAGTTATCAGATGGGGTAGCTGCCTTCTCAGAATTTGTAAGACACAACAATATCTAAACGGCAGGATAGTAATAATGATGTCTGGCATTTATTTTCTATGTGTGTTTTCTATGTGCTTGGAACTTTTTCATGTCATACATGTATTAGCTCATGTAATATTTTTAGAATTCCTGTGAAATAACATTATCATTTGCCCTACTTTACAAATAAGGAAACCAAGACAAGAAAGGTTAATTTGCTCCAAGTCATACAGCTAGGATGTGGCAAAGATGGAATTCAGATCTGTTAGTCCGGCTCTAAGAATTTTCATATTTATCCACTATGTTGTAGTGTACTATGCAATGATAACATTATGGCATAATTTAATTACCCAAAAACTAGGCAGCTTCAGCATGTGTGAGCAGGGCTGGGGTGGAAGTGCTCACAGTTAGTTGTAGGGGCACTGGCTGAGCATACCTGATGTGTTCATGTTGCTGTTTTGATTTATCTCCTTTCTCTTGCTTTAAAAGAAAGTTGTTTTCACTAGGATGAACCTCAAAGGTACAGGAAAAAAATTTAAATTTCTGCTTAATTCTTATCTTGAATATGAAAATTATTTCTTACTAATAATATATAGGCTGTTATTATATAATCTGTAAACAGACAAATATTGAAGGCCCAAATTCTAATCTTGCTGAAGGAATACATGTGTAGATTCCTTATTCTGTGGTGTAGTGTGATAGTCCCAAGTTTTAAAAGTAAAGCTGTCTGGAAACAGTTTATCATAGGGAAAAAAACCTTATCGCAAATTCTATACTATATCCTGTAGTATGTGAGGGTGTATGGAGAAGCAGCAGTACTATGATTTTGTGTAGTTGTCAGTAAATTGTGTTCTCTGATCAGCCTGGCTTTTGATTATAATGCTAAATGATAATGTCTAAAGTTAATGATTTTCATGCCTACAGTAGATTGATGGGAAAATTCATGTTTGTCTACTGGCTTACGAAATAAATTTTTAGAAATCTCATTTTTAAAAATCCTATTTATACTTGTGAAGGAGAAAAGGTCTTTTTATTGTACTCAAGGAAGAGAGGAGAAAATATTCAATTAATCTTATCATTTTCACAGATTCTGAACAATGTAGCTCACCCACAAACATCATGATTTGCATTTTTCTGAAGTAATATTTTATGATTAACAATAGTTCAGAGTGTTTTACAGTTTTTTCTGTTTGTTTGTTTTGTTTTGTTTTGTTTTTTTGAGGAACCGGGGATTGAACTCATGCCCTTGCACTTGCCTGGGAAGCACTTATTCCACTGAGCCATCTCCCCACCCGTTTTATAAGTTTTGATATCTTGTTTTGTCCCTGTGCCTTAGAATCACAGTGGTGAGGGCAGACAAAATACTCAGGTATATATGAGATGATTGTGTCACTTGGCTCTTTAACAGTGTTTAAGCCTAAAACTAACCTCAGGAAGTGATCTTTTTTCTAGGAGTCTTTCTATTTTGTATATATCTTCTGTTGCATATAACTGATAGGGATATGGTTGTGGAGTTAGTTACTAAAGGATACCCTTATGGTCATAACCAAGATGCAAATGTCACTGAGATACATTTTGAATGTCTGTCCACAAGTGTATCAGTGATTCTGAAATAGATAAAAATGAAACAGATTCATTTGGGAATTAACAGTCTTACGAGATTAATTTTTGCAGTGAATAGCAGGAATCATGTCATGACATCCATTTGTAACAGTGTGATGGTTTATTTAGCCCTCAGTCTCTAGCTCTTTGATTGAACTCACAGTACACCTATGAAGACAGTGAGGCCTGTTTCAGCTGTATTCATGTCTTCTTGAATATTAACCTGCACACTGGATAATGACAAATTTTCAGTGATTGGTGACTGTATAGTCTCAGGGAATTCTGGGATGCTTCCTGGTTTCTGTAAGCCAAGGCAGTTTTCACTCTTACGTCGGCCATTAGGAAGTTTTGTCTGCTTCACTTTGCTTTAAATTAGCAAAAGGGTAGGTGTCACCTGCAGTTTTAATTAACTACTATTCAAAACCTTATTTAGGAACAGAATTATTTTGGAGGTGATTCTGTCTGTATGCTGTGTCATAGAACCTGGACAGATTGTAATCTTTGGGATTTTGTAACTTTATCTTTCCCCAGGGGCTGCTTTTAAAAACATGTATTGAGCAGTAAAGAGAAATTTAATAAAAGCTATCATGAAATAATAGCACTGGCTTTGTTGTTTCCATAATGTTTGCAGTTTCATTTTTCAAACTTCAGTATGTTAATGCTTTTATGATATTTTTGCATTGCCTAGTTTAGTGAGTGTATCTTGTTATACTAGTACAACCGTCCTTTTTTTGTTAAATACTTGTTTGCCACTTATAAAATTATTTCCAGCATACTGATTGTGAATTATTCTTACTGTTTTAGATAAAGCTTGTTATTGTCTAACCCTTTGTAAGACATAGGGGTAGAGAAATAGGAAAACAAAGATAAGCATTTTCTCAGTTTATTAAAAACAAGTTTTTTTCTTAGTCCACTCTTTTTAATGATTCACAGAACTTTTCTTTGGGATATGATGAGATCTTGGAAATCTTAATAATGGTTTATAGAATTTTTATAGCTCTTCTTCGAGCCAAAGCTCTGATACTTTGAAAACAATGAGCTTATAGTTAGTGTTCCTTCTAAGATTAAAAATGTTTGTGTTTTTGACAAAGGATCTACAATCTGCAGTACAGGATCTCAGAATGTATTCTGAGGGGATTTCACTGACCTTATCAGACCCAAAAGCTGCAACTCTTGTTGTATAGGTCTTGCTTTATCTTGATCTTAACCATTCAGCAGAAAAGTATAAAAACGAAGAACAAGAAATAAAGCCATGTTGTTATGTTGAGGTGTAGGGGACTCAGGTCAATAATTTCTGACACTGCCAGTGAAGCAGAAGACCCAATACTATTATGGATTATTGGACTCTTTTAGAATATTGTGCTGAGTTTACACACCTATAATATTCAAATGACTGAACTAAACAAAAAAAGAGGATATATAAATGGATGTGCATTTTGTATCTATATATTCAAAGTGGTTAGGATAGATATATAGTTACATTCTCTTAATGAATAGAGGGATTTGTTCTAATAGTGTTTGTAAATAGGATATCATGTCCGCATCTCGTACAGCAAATAACCACTAGGAAGCGAGTATGCAATGTGTTAATTATTGAAACTGTCCTACCAATTTGATTTGAAACTGTTTCATTGCTATTTGTCTGTCAATAAAATTATGGAAAAAAATGTTTGTGTTTTGACTTTAAAACCTTAAGAGATGTGAGAGATTTTCAAATAATAAATAAGAAACTTGGTTAGGAATGACTTTTGTACATCTGTGTGTTAACTGGGTGAATGTCATTATACTCAGGTAGCAAGACAGCTAAATAATCTCTAATATTCTGGCTTTTCTTCCCCCCCATAGGGTTTTACAGACAGCCCTCATTACAGTGATCATTTGAATGACAGTCGATTAGGAGCCCATGAAGGCTTGTCCCCAACACCTTTCATGAACTCAAATCTGATGGGTAAGTCTGTGACTGTCTGCAAGTGGTCTGCTGAAAGCCTCTGTGATCAGGGAAGTTTATCCCTCTATTCAAAAAGGACACGTAAGTATATAGAAGGTTGCTCCCAAGTATGTGAAGGCCTTTGGAGGTTTCCATGTTCAGCTCAGTTGCAGAGCCAGCATCAGAAAGTGAAGGCTGGGGCCTGGGAGATGGCTCAGTAGAATAAGTGCTTGCCTGGTAAGGGCAAGGGCCTGAGTTCAATCCTCGGTTCCACCAAAACAACAACAAAAAAAAAAAGAAAGTGAAGGCCTTGGACAGTATTTTGATACTGTTAAATTAACTTAATAGTACAGTGTACTTTGACTGTGTAACCTGTGACCTATACCTAGTCTTGTGTGTTGGCAAAATCTTTATTTTGAGTCATTCTTTCTATATTCTTACCTTCTCTTTCTCAAAAATTTAAAGTTTTCAAACTCAAGCTCAAATTCTTTTTGTTCCCCTAGCTTGGATGCCTTAAAAAAAAATAAAAGCAAGCATTTATTTGATCTTTTTGTAATATGTGGTTGAAAAGAATGTCTGTGCCTTATGATGTCATTTTTCCTTCTTCCTTATTCTGTCATTGTGCACATTATAAAAATTTTATTTAATCTGTTTTAGTGATTCACTGTTTATTGTCATGTAAATATGGAACATTTGTGTAATGAACATTGATTTCATTACTTTATTTCATAAAGATGTATGACCTGATTTGTCCTGTTGAGACAACAGCCATTCTAATATAAATGGGTTATCCAAATCTAAAATTCTCATGGTCTATATAGATTGTTTTTCTAAAAATTCTTTTATCTATCTATCTATTTATTTGGTACAGGGTCTCAGTATTCAGCCTAGACTTACAGGGATCCTCTTGTTTCAGCCTCCCCAGCGCTGGGATTACAGGCATGCACCACCACATCTGGTTTTGTTGGCCATCATAGCACATGGTACCGGGAATCAAATGCATTCCTTGCACTTGCCAGTCAGGTGCTTAGACCACCAAGCTATCTCCCCAGCTCTTGTCTATAGATTCTTTATACTAAATGATTTTTCTCTGCACAGTCTTTCATCTTCTATAGTACAGAGGAAGTAAAGAGACAGAATCTGATATTTTAGTATAGATGTTGCCCAAGGAATTGACAGTTTAAAACGAGATTCCTTGAGTATGATACTAAGATATAAGAATAAAAAAATTAACCATCAATAAAACATGTTTAAAATCAGTTTGTTTCAAAATAAGCACAAATGAAAATCTTGGTAAAAATCACAATTAAATTTAAAGTGAAGGGCCGGCCGAATAACTCAGCAGATTAAAGCGCCTGCAAACAAGTACAGGGCCTGGGGGTTCAATTCCGGGCCTGCCATGTGGGCCTTGGCTCCAGGCCGCGGTGAGAGGGCAATTGAGACTGGGCGTGGTAGTGTGCACCTGTAATCCCAGCACTTGGGAGGCTGTAAACAGGAGAATCATTACAAGTCCAATCTAGTAGTGAGACCCTGAACACCCTTTAGACCCTTCCCTAACATACAAAAAAAGAAAGAAAGGAAGAAAGAAAGAAACCATTATTTGGCCAAGGGAAAATTTGGAGATTTTTAAAAAATTTTCTTTTTTACTTACCATCAAAGTAAAATAAATTAGGAACTTACTCATACTGTGTATAGTAAGAGAAATTTAATGATTCTGTAGTTTGAGTTGCACTTTTATTTCTTTATTGAAGCTATCACTGTGAATTGTGAAAAAACTCAGCACTTGCCCTGAGTGCATTAATGCTCTTCACCTTGCTGTTTTGCTCGCAGAGCCTTTTAAGTCTACTGGAATTGCATAATTAGCACAGTTTTGAGCCAAGATGACTGTTAAAATTATGGAGGGGTGAAGTGTAGGAGATACACATGTTTGTTATTCTGAACAGCTATTGCCCAAAAGGTTCCTAAAATTTGTTTTCTCATTTGGAGCCATGATGAATGTATGCTTAGCTTGTTCATTTTCAGATAATTATTGAAGTGCTTTTAATATTCACTGATACCTAACACACACAACTCAGCATCTAAAATAAGTTTTTATAGAAGATAATTGATGTGAAAACACATTGATGTCTTCCTTGTTTAAATGAAACCTGTATTCACTGGAACTGCATTCATCTAAACCTCCTTGTATAGTGAACCAAGTGCACCTGTACATCTCATGCACTTTCACTGGAAGTTTTAAATACTTAATTTAAAAATGTTTATTTTTATGTAAAGGAGATATAACCTTGAAATCATGATGCAGATGTGTCCAAAAGAGAATCAGTGGTCATTGACAATGTCTGATTCACCATGCTTCCTTTATTTTCTGTAAAAATTATTAAATGAAATAAGTCAATACAACAACTTACTCTAAGCAGTCTACATAGCAATAGATTCCTTTCGGAAATGAATGTCTCTTAAATTGTAGCACAGTTCCATATAGCAACAAGTAATCCAACTTGATGTGAGCTGCAATAATAGTTACATAACCAAACAAGGGTTTGCAGCAGGAGAGCTACAATGTACAGATTCATTTTTGTGGCTGTTTGGTTATTGAAGGGAGTTTCAGCCTGAAAACCTAAGAGGTCACAGCTCTGCTCAGAATGCATGGCAGTGCTAGAAGGGTATGAGCTGTTGATACCCACTTGTCACAACTGATAGCTCCTTGGAGTTGTCCTGTGAATGTTGAATGCTCAGAAACAGTGAAAGCTAACTGGAAAGCAGAAATTTTTCATCATTGCTCTCAACATATAAAAATACCATTAAGTGGAGGAAAGATCAGACATCTAGGGAATATTACTCTTTTGAATATTATATTCAGCCCATACACACATTTGCCAGAAGAAATAGTGGGTTATAAAGTATTCACTTGTCTTTTCTGATGATTCTTTCAGATAGTTTAATGATTTTATACATTGAAAAAAAGAGCAAATTCTTCTAGGATTGATAATGATTCAATAATGAATAATTTTCCACTGGAAGTACAATTTCATGTTTGTTTAGGTATTTTGAAATGTTTTATATGGGAGTAAAAAGCTGTTGTGTGGCACCAGCTAGTGTTTCTATGAACTCCAGAATTATTCTCTTGTTAATGTGGAGTAGAGGACTTTTCTTAATAAAGTACATACATATTTTCAGCATTTCCCTAGACAGTTGGCATGAAACAATTATTCATTTTATTTTATTAAAATTTTGTATAAAACTTGCACCACAGTAATAAATTAGAATAGTATCACCAGACAGCCTTGTGTCTAGGCTTTTCCAGCTTTTGATCCATTTCTTTCTTCTGGGTTCCTTTATTAATTCCAGTAAAATTCATTTAATTTTAGGCAACTAGTCATTTTTGTGATGATAGAATTTTTCATTAATTGAACATAGACATGAATTATTTCACAAAATTGTACACATTCCATTTGATACTTCTAGCCTTATACAGTTCCATTTCCCAACCATAATTATAGCTATACTGGTCTTGACAGATGACCCTGAAAAAGATTTCATAAGAAAGTATCTTTGGACAGTGTTATATATTGTGTTTTAGTGGTTCCCTTTAGAGATACAGATTGTACTATGGTATGTTAAAGACACTGGGAAAAGAACAAAGGAAAAGATATTTCACTTAGTTTAGCTAGCTCCATCACAAATTCATATGATGACTTTTTATAAAACACACCATTAAGTTTTAGCCAACTAACTAGCTTTTCATGGGGCTCACACTGGGAAGTGCTTCTAATTGTTTAAAGAATATAAAAATACCTGAAAAAATGAAATAGCATAGTGTTTTTGGAACTGCTATTTATACTTTTAGGTCTCATTTTAGGCATGTTAGCTAATTTAGTACATTGGGTCTAATTGTTCAGATATAGTATTGTTAAACTTCTAATTATACATTGACTTATAAACAAATATCTGTACTTTGTTTGCTGTTGAACTCTTTTTTTGCTCCATTCTACCTATCTCCATTGGGACTTAAAGGGTCTCTCTGCTTTGAGTTACCTTATTTCTGTGTTATTGTGGGTAAAATAAGCTTATGTGAACTTTTTTTAAGTGAGCAGAATATTTATTGGAGGAAAGAAAGCTCCTCTCCGAAAGAGAGACAGAAGGGGGGTCCTGAGTGGGTGATCCCCGGAAAGCTGTCCCTTCCAGGGACTTTTATAGAGGAAAACCATGTGGTAAGGCAGGTCTAAGGTGGTGGAAAACATGGGAACTCACTTAGGTGGGCATGAGGTGGACAAAACTAAGGTCAACCCATGAGATTACAATCACCACTGCTCAGGTAGAATTGATTTCATCCAGTACCAAATGGGAAAGCAAGTCACATAGCAAGCAGGCATAAATACACTGGACAGGGTCACTTCCTGTTGGGGGTTGGGTTAGTCACTCATTTGGGCTCTTTCAAGGTGATTGATACCTATTTAGAATATCAATCCCTGATGCCTATCAGCGAATTATGTAGCTGTGTTTCTTCTTTTGTCTTGAGGTCTGGCACATATGGGAGTGTGTCTCTTCCAAGTTGCAAAGTCACCTTGTCTCCCATCTTGTCTCTTTGAGGGCCTGGCCCTGTCTGACTGCCTGTAATATTTCTGTCTAACTCAGCTGCCTCCAACATTCCCCCTCTGAAGAAGTAACCTGAACTGCTGTGAGGGAACCATTGGCGATGACCACTCTGGCTTCTTCAGGCTGAAAGGGGTCATAGTTGTGACCAGTAGTCAGAGATATTCTCCAGAGTTTTTATCTAAAGGCCCTCAATAGACACCATGCATTTTTATCATGGATAGGCGGAATAGCTTTAAGTCTGGAGGAGACAAAGCCAAAACAAACAAACAAAAAACAATTAAACATGTATGGGCCAAATAACATCAGCAGGATAATTATGAATACAGTTAAAGATTTTTATGAAGTAGACAAAATGATAAAGATAGGGTCCAGGGGACCTCAGCATCTTACATATCATTGATTTACTATCTAATATTTTGAACAGC